TATCTTCACAGCTGTGAGCAGGGTCAAAAGTTCTGAAGAGCCCACAGCAGGCCACTGCGGGGTCACGGTACCATGTGAAGATGTGGAGTCAGGTCATCTCTGGAGAGGCCGTGCCGTCCTGTGCAGGACGGAGTGATGCCAGTATTCACTGGCTTTACTCACAGACACGTACGAAACCCCCAGCTGCCACACACACACACACACACACACACACACACACACACACACACACAGTGTCTTTTAGGCATTGCCAGCCTACAACTAGAGGCAAAATCCCTTGTTCTGGGGCCCACTGGGGGAGCGGGTGAAAGTTTGCTGCACCAGTGGTGGCCAGAGGGCCTGCTGCCTGTTCCTGGAGTCAAGTCAGAGTGTGAAGGCTGTCCCCAAGAGCCTGGGCTTCCTAGCTCTGGTTCAGCCACAGCATGCTTGATTTGTAATCCCTGTCCTTCCTTCCTTCCTTCCTTCCTTCCTTCCCTCCTTCCCTCCTTCCTTCCTTCCTTCCTTCCTTCCTTCCTTCCTTCCTTCCTTCCTTCCTTCCTTCCTGTCCGCCCGTCTCTCCCTCCCTCCATCGCTCCAGTCCTCTGCACAGCACAGGACAGCACACTGCAGTATCCCTCAGAGCATGCTGCTCTTGGCCTCAGCACAGGAGCCAGGAAGAGCTGGAGCCCAAGCACAGCCCTCCTTCCCTTGTGAGCATCCGTGCTGGCTCTGTAGTGAGGGCACTCACTCTCTGCTCCCTCTCCTCCAGTGACGCCTGCTCCTGCACCCCCCACACACACACACCGTCAAGATGACAGCCTTCCTGAGGTCCTAGAGGTTTCAGGCTGGTCATTTGCACAGAGCACTCAACCACTGTGTGACCAAGAGGCCTTCTCCTTCTCTGTCATTTAACCAAAAGTCGCTTTGTGAGAGGTGGCCCTGCAGAGCCGCCTTGCCTGGAGCCGCCTGACTTTTCTCCTTAGCACCTGCTCTCATCCAGCCTCATGTGCGTTTTAACAAGTCTACTGGTCAAATACCTTCCTCCCTTGGACAGGCAGCAGCACAGGATTTCATTGCTACACCTTTAGAACACTGATGTGTACAGCAGACGCTTAACAAACTCAGCTGAATCAATGACCTGTGCTTAACCATCATGTCTGAGGTCAAAGGGCAACTGAGTGACCCACTCTCATGACCTTCAGCACTCTTCATGGGGCACGCCGTTAATGTAGTAGACCTCAGGGCACTGGATGTCGCTCAGCTGGTGGTATATTTACCTAACATGTGAGGTGCTGGGTTTAATTCCTGCTACTACCTAAATCAGGTGTCGTGGCACTTCCTGTAACCCCAGCCACTTCAAAGGTGGACGCAGAAGCAGCAAGAGATGGCTACACCTCTGTTTACGGCTAGCCTTTGGATACTCGAGACCCTGGATCAAGTAAGATAGACAAATACTTTAAAATAATACGTCAAAAGTGCCTTGCTATCGGACCACAGGCTGGAGTGAGGCAGGCCCTGTGTGGTCTCTCTTCCCAGCATGCTCCAAGAGGCAAGGTCCAGGAAGTGCATCTCTCACCTCTCAGACTCCAGTAGGCCTGGTGTCCTCGCAGTAAGCTAAGAGAGAAGCTGCCCCGTGCAGGTGGACAGACCCCTCAAGCACAGCTTCCTCTACCTGCCGGGCTGGAGCAGCCCACTGGCCCTGCACCCAGATCCTGGGCTCTCATTTCTCCCCTCCTCAGTGGCTCCCAAGGTGCTGCTTCTCCTCCGCAGTACACCAGAATGTCCTCCGGTGCTCCCTGCAGACTTAGCCCCCATCTCCCGTGATTCCAGAGTCTGGGGGTCTCTCCAGACCGAGTTCTGGTCCCCAGGCCCACACTCAGGAGCTCAGTTTGAGAAACGCCGCCCCAAGGAGACCCTCATCTGACAGAATCAATGAGTTCATGGCTCCAAGAAGTCGGGAGACAGGCCTGGGAGCAGGGCACTTGGCATGGACCCAGCCACGTCCCAGCAGCTGTGGGCTCTCAGGCACACCACCAAAGGGTGCCACCACGGAAGCATGGCACATAAATACTAAACAAACAGAATAGTTTTTGAGTCATAGAAAGAACACAATTACATAGTTTGCAGAAAAATAATTGGAAGTAATCATATTCAGCGAATTAAGTCTGTCTCAGAAAGACAAATTTCTCGTTTTCTGTCACTCATGGTTCTTACAGATTTTATACCGATACATAAAATCACACGACATGAAAGCATAAGTACAGCTGTCTAGATTGGCAAAAGGATGGGGAGCGCCGAGAAAAGGGGTGAGGGGTACCTCGGTATGTGCTCAATACATAATGTACATTGTATGGGCATTTAAAACAGAAGCAGAAAAGCAGGCTCGCCATCACGGGTGCCAGGCAAAGGCACTGCCCACGGCAGCTGTTGGATCTGGCTGCCTGGACCAGCAGCACAGGGCCAGGGACTGCCGTCTGCTGGGCAGGGCCCCACCCCTTGGCAGTGGAAGGCAGCTGGGGTGGCCTTAGGGAACACCATCTCTGGCCTGCGTGGGTGAGCCATGGGTACCCCACGGCAACTGTGGGAGGCTGGCAGCTGGGATTTCAGTTTTGTACGCTGCCAGCTTCCCACTGTACAAACGGGGGGGGGGATTTCCACGAGGGAGGTCAGAGTGGTGAAATGGGAGAGACAGGGTTACCCCAGAACTTCAAGCTGGGGAGCGATGGCCGCTGTCTACAGAACGACTTGAAATTAGCATCTGTCTGTGAGAATCCTGCATGGCCAAGCCAGGCCCACAGGGACTTCCTCACCGGCACCCTCGGCAGCGGCTGCTGTCTCCTGCCGTCCTGTTATTAGGTTTTATAGGAGCAATTCGAACAGCAGCAGAGTTCACCCTGGCGCTTGTGTTTTATTTCAGAAGCTTGTTAGCACAGTGGGCCTGAGCCCACTGTGCCCCACTGTGCTGTCCCTCGCTCCTCCCTTTCCTCCTGCTTCTTTCTCTGCTGGCTCCTGTGCAGTGATGATGGGTAGACAGGGTGGACAATGAGAGCCACAGCCAGGAGCTCTGCCCCTGGGGACAGAGGCGGGACTTGCTCTGGTAGAATGAGGCTGCAAAATGCACTTCTCCCATGAAACCACGTAGGCAGCAATGGAGCCCGTGCCGGTGCTAGGCCACACGCCCTAGCCAGGGGCCTGCTTTCAAACTTGGCTCCCAGGTCTCACAGCAGGAAGACCTGCTCCATGTAAGCCTAGGACAGAAATAGTTAGGAGAAGCCACTGAGCTGGGGCCCGGGAGATGCGCCAAGACCTCTGTAGGCCTGAAGGGTGCAGGAACCAACACAGCCAATCACTGAGCCCTCCTGCCTCATCTGCAGGTGAGCCACGTCCAGTTCAAGTACCGAGGCCGTTAGCAGACTAAGGGCCTTCCCGAGCCCTGCTTCCACTCCACTGCAACACAACCCAACACTCTCAGGACTGAGTTCAAGGCCAGCCTGTGTTATGTAGTGCTACCCTGACTGGAAAAACTGCAGACCAGCAGCAACTAGGCAAACCAAGAAAGCATCAAGGGGGGGGGGGGGGGGGCCGGGGAACAAACCCAACCCCTTTTTGAGGCCGGGGGCCGGGTCCGCCCCCCCCCCCCCCCCCCATGCGGCCTGGCAGCCACGCTGCTAACAGTCCTTGGAAGGTCTGTGACTGACACCTGTGTTAACACCGACAAGCAGCTGACGCCATGATTTCCAGCACTTACGAAACACAACACTTTAAACACATTTAGCACGGAGACATACATGTACAAAGAGGCCCTCTCATAGCGGCGAGCTGAAAAGTGTTCTGGGTGCTGAGCCCAGCATGCTTGGTTCCCATCCAAACTCTGAGTCCTTTTAAGTGGTGTCTGGGCTGGCCAGCCAATGCGGGCTCAGTGGCTTCCTCATCCATCAAATGGGAGCAGGCTTCCCTGCTGATCAGGGGATCAATGGCCTACTGGGTACAAAGGGCCTTTGTATTCAGGAAGCCCAAAACACTGGAAACCGTTCTTAGGATCTGGTATATAAACGAGTTTGTAGCTCATTTAGGAGAATTAATCCTGTCTTTTTCTCTGGGTTTTACATTCGTTCCCCTGGGTATATACGGGATAGTTTAATGGAAATTAGACCTACCCACTCTCCCTCCCTCTCTCTCCCTCTCTCTTCCTCACTTTCCCTCTCTCTCCCTCCCCACCTCTCTCTCTCTCTCTCTCCCTCTCATGGTGCTATGGCACAGCTTACATTAAGGAAGTCTGAGGACAAACTTAACGTGAGTCTTCACCTTCCAGCCTATCTGAGGCAGCCTAACACTGCTGGTGTCAGATTAACTGGCCCACGAGCAACCAGGTGTCTGTCTCCCATCCTGCTGCAGACACATGCTACACTCCCTGCCTTTATGTGCATGCAGGGGATCCCAACTCAAGTTCTTGTGCTCATGTGGCCAACGCTTCAACTGCCGAGCAGTCTCCCTAGCCCCTGTGCTACTGTTCAAGCTCCTGTGTGACGAGGCTTTGGATTGCTAGAAATGGCGACCACTCCAAGTGCCAGCCACACTCCCACGGCAAACTCAAGACACATCAGCTCCAGGGGTCTTGCGGTGCTTAAGCTGAGGCCGCACACGCATGCAAGGACCCCCACAAACTCAGGTGGCTTGGGCAACGCTGCCCTGCCTGGCCACTAGCCAACACTGTGTCTCCACAGAAACGTCAGATAGCACTGAACATAAGACAGAAGTGAACTCCGCCATGTGTGAGCACGCTCCCCTCACACCTGGGAAGAAGAACTGAGCCAAGAGTCTTCAAAGGTTCTGGGTAAACACTCCACTGGTTTCGCAGCCTCTGTCCTCAGCCCAAGCCACGGAGGAGTACGTTCCCCAGAAGCACCTCGAGTCACCAGCCAGCGGCCTCGCCCTCAAGAGTCCCCCGGGCACAGTGAAGAAAACACAGGACTCAGCAGACAGGAAGAAGAATGGAGGTCGGAGTGGCCAGCACTGCTTACCTGGAGCCGTTCACCTGGCCGGGGTTGCACTCCATCTTGATGGTGACCCTGGTGGGGGGCTGGGACAGCCAGTCCTGCTGAGGGGCCCGGGGACTCATCTTGGACGTCTGGCCATAGTCACTGGAAGAGGACGCGGTCATCTCCGTCTTTGCCAGGTGTGGCGCTCCGTAGGCACACTCAAATAGGGACTGGTCCTCACTCACAACTGATAAGGCCTCCTGGAAGGGAAAGAAACAGAGTCAGGACACCCCAGTCGTGTTTCAGGGTCACTTCCTACACTTAGGGGCAGCCCTGACAGGGCTGCAAAGGCTGGCCTCCTGTTCTCTGCAAGAAAGGAGAAAACAAAAGTAGCTTTGTTTCCAGTGAGCGGTGGCGGCTGGAGTGGCCTGGAGCCGCTCACCTGCGGGGCTCTAGCGCCCAGGCCCGCTCTGCTCTGGCCAGACAGGGCCCACTTTAATCTCAACTCGAGGAAGTTGAATTTCAAAGGTCTTAGAAGACATCCAATTGCATGTGTCATTACTTGACAAATGTGATCTATAATTCAAGCAGACAGGGCGAGGAAGGGTCACAGAGATGAGAGACGGGGCTGGGAAGACCAACACCTCGGCCTGTGGGGGACCCCCGTGCTCTGGGACCCAGAGGTCCGGGTCCTCGGGAGAGCGGACGGGGATGCCGCGGCCGACGGGAGCCAGACAGAGATGCAGCTCTTCCCACACCGCACTGTTTGCCGGGAAGAGCTTCAAACGCTTCTATGATGGTGAACATCTGGATGATAAATGAAGTAAAAACTAAAAAGCTGCGAATTACCCAGAGGCCGCCAAACACTGGGGCAGAGCCTGCCCTGGTCTCTGATATTTTCACTGTTCTGTGAAAAGAAAAAAGAGAATCGTCCCAACGGGGACACTTTTCTGTGCTTAAGCCAGTGGTGAGTCCTCAGTGAGAGCTGATGTGCAGGAGGCCTGCAAAGCACAGTTATCAACTGATGAGAAGGCCGGAGAGCACACTCGTGTGTGTGTGTGTGTGTGTGTGTGTGTGTGTGTGCTCGCACCCGGGTGGGTGTGCAGGTGTAGGTGTGCGCACTTACACTCACACCTGTGCATACACGTGTAGAGGCGGCAGGTTGCTGGCGCTAGCTCACTAAGCCGTTGACACTTTGAGGCTCCTGAACCCAGAGCTCACCGGCCAGCTTGACCTCCCCATGAGTGTGCAACCTGGCGTGCTCCCGCCCGGGTGCAGGGCTCGCAGGCACACCAGTGTGCCCAGTGTGCCCGGGTTTCACACGGGTGCTGGAGGCGGAGCCCGAGGCTTGCTGTTTCTCGGAGCAGCACTGTGGCCGCGCGGCCGGCCCTCAGCCTGCGGCTTTCAGTTGAACAGCGGGAAGGAGGGAGGAGGGACACAGGGTCCAGGGCTGAGCTAAGTGTGCATGAGCTGGTCCGAGAAAGCCAGGGGTCCTGTGAGGGTGCACGCGGGCGTGGTCACACCTGTGCCCGGACTCCTGGCCCCGCTGGGAAATGTGTTCACATCGACACCTATTCTCTGCCCACCGATGGGAAGGCGCGTGGACACAGCATGATTTCCAGCAGAAGCTGGCAAAAACCGGTTACACCGAGGGAGCGGCAGAAACAGTAACCCACAAATGTTCGTAAGATGCTCCTGCAAACAAGCGGCCACGGGTGCAGGACTGGCGGGGAGGACAGAAACATCCCAGCTAAAATGGGGCCTGTGCGCGCGCACGAGCTCGGGAGGAAATCTTCTCACATCTGGCAAAGCGTAATTTCAACACATGGTTTTCTGAAGAAAGAAATCAAAGTTAACTGAGATCGATTTAAGTGGGAAAGAAGGGCACAAGTCTGTTCCGCTCCTACAACACTCCCCAGTCAGAGCTGTGGGAACGGAGGAAGGCTCCACCCAGCCATCGCTCAGTCCCGAGAGGACCCTGAAAGCCGGGTAAGCGCTGCACGCGGCCAAGCACAGACTCCCTTCTACACAGGGGTCCAAAGGTGAGCCCAAGTAACACACACACACACACACACACACACACACACACACACACTTACACTCTACAACACACATCATATGTACGCGATACAACCTAACACACACGCGCACGCAGACACACACCCAACAGGGAGATAAAGCCAAGGAGGAGCGTGTGAACCTGCGTCACTGAGCGGCTACCAGAAAAGGCAAGCACACGCCCAAACACGACTCCATCCCAGTTCAACTGCACACTCAGGCTTCCACATTCCCTTTCAGGGCAGACTGGTCACACGCAGCCCCTGGCTTCTCCGCCTGCCTGCCAGGCCCAGGCTTCAAAGGGTGGAGAGAGCTGAGCTGCAGGGACAGACACCTCTGGCCTCCAAGTGCCACACACACACACACACACACACACACACACACACACACACACACAC